AAATACTTCATTTTATTCCTCAGAATTAAATGCAGTCAAACAACCAGATGAGTAAATACGGTCTGGTGTAGTAAGATTCACATCAAAAACCGAAATGATGTAATACACGCGTTGCCTCGGCAGCGCGCGAGCCGCTCAGTCACACAAACAACATCGATCTCCTCAAAGAAAGATGGCCGCAGCAGCGAGCTCTCACTCAGAGGGGGAAGAAACCTCAGCACGGGCTTCCAAGCTTCGAGAACGAGCTCTAGATCTAGGGAACACGGGTGGAGATAGGAGAGCCATCTCCTACCCGTCCGCCAGATCATGCCAAGAGCCGACTGAGCGAGCTCCGCACCCCATTAATGCTGCTTATTATAACATCAGGCATAATATGTTTGCTTAATTTTTTCCCCCTATTTTGTAACTGATAACTGAAGGCAGTAACAAACGCTACCAATGCGGGCCGTCAGCTCTCGAGGGAGCGTGCACCCTGCGTGCTTGGTTCCCAAGCAGACAACAAACAAACTGTGTGTATCCCCACCCGTAAAGTAACACTGGCAGAGAGGAACACACAGCCTGAACACTGCCTGCCCTCGCCTTAGGTGTTTGGTTTTGTCTTGTGATACAAACAACACTAAATAAGACTCACAAACAGATATCAGACTGACACACACACAGAGCGCTTGCTGAATGACAGAAAGCTGACGCCGGTTTCACCGCATGTGCTTTTATGCTTCCTGGTCGCTACGTCACCCCGCCCGTGACGTCTCGCTCATCCATTGGACTGATTACACATGTGATTCAGAAGTGGTCGCGCTGGAGGCGTTCCCTTAGCGATTCGACGCAGCTCGAGTTCCTGAAGGGGAACATAAGTTGCTATGGATTAATGGTAATACTTTTTAGGCTACTTTAGAGCATTAAAGATGAGTGTTTCGACTGACATGGGTACAATTGGAACAAACGTACTTCTTGACTAACTGTGGAAAATATTAACTTTGTTGGTATTGATCATAATTTATTTTGTAGACAAATAAATGAAACATGCGTGTTCTAGCTGTACTACAACCACAACAAATGTGCAGAATCTACAAATGAACTGGTTAGCAGGTAAACACTTACAAACAAAATAAACGAAATGATAAATTTAGTAAAACATGACACATTATTCAGAAAGCAATCATAATGATCAGTCATCAGTATTCATGTCTGTAATATTCATACTAGAACACAAGCTTACCTGTCCTAGAGCAGCTAAAATGAGAAGAAGAGCTTCAATGATCAGCAGCATCTTGATTCAGTCGAATCCCTCAGATGATCTAGTAGATCTAGTAAAGAGCAGATGATGAAAGACAACCAGAAACACAAAAGTATTACACAAATACTAAATCTATTACTCCAGTAGGAATATGTACACAATAAACCTGTGTTCACCACATCTGACATAATACACTTTTAAATTTATGGTATTTTCTGTTGAATAGCAAATTCATATCAAATAATCACTTAAACGGTATATATGTTCACTGATATACTGAGTCTGACCTTTTCATTTAAAGGGGTCCTATTATGCTCTTTTACAAAGTCTTGATTTTGTTTTGGGGGTGTACTAGAACATGCTCTCATGCTTGGTGGTTCGAAAAACGCATTATTTTTCACATAATTTACATTATTAAAATACCTTTCTCCCCTTCCTGGCACAAACTGCTCGATTAGTTTCGGCTTTGATGAAGGTCCGCCTTCCGAGAAACAATGATCTTTTTTATGCCCAAACATACACACTACACACTGACTAAAATTAAAAAAGTGACAAAGCATAATAGGACCCCTTTAAAAAATATTATTGCCAGCCTTTCCATATTATTTTGTACCTAATTATGTGTGAAAATAATTTCACAGGCCATGATGTTGGACTCCAGCACTGATACTAGCACTGATTCAAGCTCTGATGACTCCAGCTCAGACTCCAGCTCCAGCTCTACCTCTGACTCTTCGGATGAGGAAAAGAGTAAAAAGAAGAATGGCAAGAAGAGAAGCAAAAAAAGAAAGAAGGAAAACAAAAAGGTGAAGAGGTCAGGTGGAAAAGGAGAACGGGGTATGGTAGGCTTCGCAGTTAGTGTTGAGGCAGCCATGTCAGGGAGACGCTGTGGGTTTCTAGGCAAAAGCACTTTATTTGGCCTTCCGAAAGTAGATGCATTTAGGAATCTTTAAGATTACTTACAACAGAACAGCAATGCATTTTATGGACGACCGTTTCGTGAACCTAGGAGAGGAGGTAATTCTGACTTTGCTATGACAATCTGGCGCTTCTGAATCAGCTACTGTTTTGTTTAGTTTAAGTATTTGCTATTGACTGTTCAAATGCGGAGTTTTAGGCATCGTGTGTGTGTGTGTGCGCGCGCGCGTGTGTGTGTTTGAGAGAGAGAGAGAGAGAGAGAGAGTGGGCAGCCATTTTTGCTGCGGCGCCCGGGGAGCAGTTGGGGGTTCGGTGCCTTGCTCAGGGTACCTCAGTCGTGGTATTGAAGGTGGAAGAGAGCGCTGTACATTCCCTCCCCCCACCTACAATCCCTGCTGGTACGAGACTCGAACCGCAACCTTTGGGTTATGAGTCCGACTCTCTAACCATTAGGCCACGACTTCCCCCATCATGTAAGGACATCGGTAAAATGGTACTCTCCATGGTGCTAGGGTGACGTGGAGGAGAAGAATTGTTGAATAAAGTTGTTATTTTTGTTTTCTTTGTGAACAAAAACTATTCTCATAGCTTCATAAAATTACGGTTGAGCCACTGATGCCACACAGACTGTTTCACCGATGTCCTTACGTTTCTGTGCCTCTTTCGATTAGTTGACAAGCAACATGTAAGCAACTAATGTTTAGTTGACTATCAACAGATATTAAAGTAGTGATTTTGATAAAAACGAGGTCTTAAATAATTATTAATTTGATACGTTTGAGACCCTTGAGTAAGGATGATGTAATATGGTCTTGATTATAAGTTGACATGACTGTAGACTTTCAATTGACATTGATTTTGAATAGTTGGTAGACAACTTAGAGGATGGTAACACAATCTACAGAAAGTTAGCTGACTATTGGTTAATAATCTGATGCGAAAAACATGTAGACAGTCAACTGGCAACTTTTTTGTCAAATCTATAGATTCGAATTTGAAATGCACCTTAAGATCTACTGGCAGTTAGTTGAACGTATGTTACTTGTCTGTTGAAACAATGTTGTTGAATGTCAACTGATTCACTGTTGACATGCTACTAAATGAGTACTGATAACTAGTAGAGTCTCAACAGATGGACTATCAAAATAAAGTGTTACCAACAATAGCTGATATGATGTTTCAGACAGCATCATTTACTGGGTCATGTCAGATGGATTTCCTGCAAAACGTATGGAAAGATACAAGGTATAATTGTTGTAAGCCACACAAGCAGTTGCTCTTGAAACCTCTCAAACAGGTATCACAATGGTAAGATGTATCACATGTTTTATTTTTGACTAAATGGTCCCTTATGAAGGAATCCTCATGCGCATTCACAAAAGTTTGCCATTTCATTCAGTTATTACAAATTTTCAGGACACTGTTTTATTTTTCATTCCTCTCCCAGGACCTCTACATCCATGCCATATCCAGTCAGATATGCTTGCTGGATGTGAAACTGCACTCATGCATAATCTATTTTTAAATAAACAAGTCGTTCCCTTTAGGCTGATATCCAGCTTTATATCTCAACGCTTCTGTATTTCACTGAATTTAAACTTTGATACTTTTCTTAAAAATATTATTTATTTTACTTCACTGTCTCTGAAGTCCTATATGTCTGCTGAATTTTTGTGCATCACCTTTTTTTGTTTTGAAGAAATGCCAGTATATAAATGCTTAAAGGCAGAAGTTTCTGTTCTTGAACCCCTTTGACTACAGACATAATCTTGGAGTCATTAGAAATCTAACATTTTGCTCCTCAAGCCTCAGAACTGCTCTTAGTGATGAGTATCATCACTGGAGATTTTAGTATTGTAACAATTGGCATGTAAAAGGGGTTCAATGTAAAAGTTTAATTTTGGGCATTTTATATTGGCTCTGCTGGTGGATATGACTGTACATAACTGTCAAGCAAAAGCCACTTTATTTCTGTAGGTCACCACTGGGGTGAAGAGTGGAGATTTGCTCAGTTTGAGGGCAGATACAAACTCTCCACCTGCACATTCAGTTATATCCAGAGCACAATTCAGAATTGAAGAACTGTCTCCCTTTCAAATTTACCACAATACAGGAAGTTCAATCAGTAATTTAGCAATTCTCAGTTCAATTCAAGTTCAAGGGCCACTGCAGAGGCTCATTTTTTCCCCCCAAACACAATGTTATGCAATATTGTAGAACTATCTTCCAGCAATGTCAACCTTAGCATGCTTTATATTTCAGTCATGTGACACAAAACGGTTATGTATAACTGAAGAAATTAATCAGAGAAACATAAAAGCCATTTAACACTGCATTTAGTCTGATATCCAAAAACAAGTTAAATAGCAAAAATAAGCTTTTTATTAGCAGTTTATTGAAGAATCTTCATCTGACCAGCACAAATTCAACAAATAACAAAGCAAAGGCAATGGAAAATAACTACTTCACAACAATATCCTCTGATGTTAAAAGCTTAAACTGAAGACATTTCGTATCTCTAACTTACTTGTGGAGACAATACTGGACACAACATTACAGTAACAGAAAAATAATAGAAAATAAAAAGCAATAAGTAAATAACTATATGGTGAACGAGTAGATAGAAAGATCCTTAAATCTTTCAATTATGTATTATGGAAATCATGCAAGGAAGTAAAGTTAAAATACTCAACATACATTTTGAAGTATTACTGTAGCTCAAACTCTACAGCAGCAGCGTCGTTTCTGACCACTTTGACGGCCGGTGTGAGTTTCTCCATCAGTGAGATTGAGTCGGTGTACGAGCATCTGATTCTGTCCTAGACAACCACATGGTCGGCCTATAAACCGACTGTTTATATGGCCTTGACTGGCCATTAGCTTTCGATAAAAGCATCTGCAAAACGCAGAAGTGTTAAATGTTGATGTATTTTTAAGGAACTTTGTTGGTTTCTTGAAAGCCACTGCACAGTTCAGGTCACTTCTTTTCCCAGAGCTTTCCAACATGTACACAGTATCACACCAGAGATTTTTATGATATTTTCTCGTCTTGACAGCAGTGACTTTAAACTTCTCATATGGAGGAATCAGCACCTCTTTCTGTTCAGGATACTTAGAGTATTTGATCACATCAGCACCTTCACAAGTTTTGATTTCAAAACAAGATGTATTTCCAAAATCTTGTGCTACTTTACGTTCAAGAGACGATGATGTAAATGAGCCGAAACGAACCTTTTTGCCTGTAACATTTTGAAAGAAATTAACTGTTGTACCACGATACGTTGACTTGCATTTCTTCTGTGTTTCAGTCAATATCTTTATCGCATCGGTTAACAAAAAGTGAAGTGAATACCATTTAAATGCCTGGTTTGTGTAGTTTTGCTTGCCGTTACGAACAGCCGTATTAAAATTGCGGTATATGTTAGAATTAAGGTTGGTGTACACGTAAATGGCGATTGAATGATTCCTTGTCAAGTTATCTTCTGGTACTGTGGCATTCACTTCACCTTCTTGCCAAGCATTTCTAAAATCAGTTGAGTTATTGATTTCCTTCTCTAGATATTTTTTCTTCACCAGATGTGCCATTTTCACTGTACAGCCATCATATTGATCATCAACTGAATTCGGTGCAATATCCAATGGATATATCTTTCTTGCAGCAGCAGCTCTGTGATCCTGCAGCAACAGGAATCATAATGAGCAATCATCAGCATTCATGTCTGTAATATTCATACTAGAACACAAGCTTACCTGTCCTAGAGCAGCTAAAATGAGAAGAAGAGCTTCAATGATCAGCAGCATCTTGATTCAGTCGAATCCCTCAGATGATCTAGTAGATCTAGAGAAGAACAGCTGCTGAAAGACAACCAGAAACACAAGTTTAATTTACAATAGAGTAATGACAGCTAAGATAAAACACAACACAAAAACACTTAAGAGGAATGAAAAATGTTGTGTCACTTAAACTTGTCATGTTCACTGATGGACCCAAAACTTACCTGAGAATACTCTTGTCTTTCTGTCGGCTTCAACGAGAGGAGAAGATCAGAAAAGTCAGTCACTCACTCACAGCCAAACAGCAACAGCACTCTGAGAGATGAGGAAGTTTGCCCTTGTTTTTTTAACATTGCTAATAATGAGTGTGTGTATGTTCTGAGCCTCCAACATTAGAAAAATTAACAGAGGCACAGGAGACAAAAGACCATTTTTTCAATCCGTTCTTAATCACTCAATGTCCAATAAATGCTGCCTGTCCAAGACTTCTGTGTGTATCTTTTTTTGCAATGATGCCACCACTGCTATCAATGAGAGACATTTGCTGTCAATATACTTACTCGAAAGGCATGGGAATTTAGCATCATCAAATTATATTTGAATGGATGTCAGTGGAGGAGAGACTTCATAACACTGCCTTTCATGAGGAAACATGTGGCAACATTTCCACAAAATATTACTTTGCTCCTTTCACATTTTACAGCACTTTCAAAGTGAAATATCCACTTACATTGGACAACATTGTACGGTTATTTGAAATGTTCATGAGACTGCTGTTTTTCTTTTGTCATTTCACTCTCAGGTCTTCATTTACCAATTTTTTTTTTTTTTACCAGATATATTTAGGTTTTTGGAGAAGCTTTGCATCTGGATGTGAAACTGCACTTGTGCATATTCTTAAACAAACAAGCATTTGGTTCCCTTTAGGTTTCACATTTCAGTCCTTCATTTTACTTTCTGTAAAACCTTGATACTCCCTTTAAAAAATGTATTTTCAGTATCAGAAAATAACTTCTCAGTATCAGAATGAGGATACTCAGAATATTTTGTCAGATCAACACCTTCCCAAGTGCAGATTTCAAAACAAGTTTTATTCAAAATCCTTTGTTTCTCTATGATCAAAAGAGGATGCAAATGAGCCAAGATGAACCTCTGTGTACAGAACTTTTCTAACATCATATTTATCTTTTTTACCAGTTGACATGCATCCATCTTTTACTTTACCTCCAAAATTACCTGAGAAAATGTTTGTCTTTTTGTGAGGTTCTTCAGGTGCTTGAGGGTAATGATGGAAAAGATCAGAAAAGAGCCAGATGACAACAGTAGTATTTAAAAATACCTATGAAAGATTAAAAAAAAAAAATCTAACTTTCATGTAACTTCAAACAAATTTAAAATGATTAAATATATTCATTCCACTGTCAAGACCTCTTTAACCATCTATTATTCCATAATCATGGATATATTTAAATATTCGGATATTATTTTCATCATGATATGAAACGTCTCCAGGTTACGCATGTAACCCTACACTCTAAAAAAAGATGATTCGTTAAAGATTCTTTACATGCAGTATTGGTTTTATTTAGAACCATAGCATTCTGAAGAACCCTTTTATGCTGAAATGGTTCTTTGTGTTAGAGCAGGGCTGCCCAGACTCGGTCCTGGAGGGCCGGTGTCCTGCAGAGTTTAGCTCCAACTTGCCTCAACACGCCTGCCTTTAAGTTTATAGTATGCCTAGCAAGAGCTTGATTAGCCGGTTCAGGTGTGTTTGATTGGGGTTGGAGCTAAACTCTTCAGGACACTGGCCCTCCAGGACCAAGTTTGGACACCCCTGTGTTAGAGTTTAGGGTTCTTTATTCCCGCCCTTTTGTATTTCAAATCTGCAACTGTCAAAGCACCTCAGTACTGATTTTCTGGAGTTCAGTGATCCAACTACACAGACTGTCAACACACTATCAACGGGTAAATTATTTCATTCCTAAATTTAAATACTAATTTAACTTTAAAATTGTAACTGGTTTCCAAACAAACATGTTCTTATTTTTTATTAGTTTTTGGTCACATATAAGTGCGTGCAGCTCTGTTAAGCTGTGAAAACTTCTCTCCTCTTCTCCACAGATGTATCATACCCTACTACCACCTCAACTGCAGAGAAAAATCGCCACTTAATTACACCAAAATTATGGACTTAAAGGCATCATAGAGGATTGTGATTGTTTCACTGAAACTTGGTCTTCATCACATCTATTTTTGTTCTTATTTTGTTTTACTTCTTTATGTATTTATTCATGTTCAATGTCAATTGTCATTCATTAATGTACTCAGCTAATAACTGTTGTTAAGAGCACTGATGATTTTGCATGTCAATAAAAACATACTTATTTCACACAACATGCTGCTGTTGTGGTTATTGTTGTTGTTGTTGTTTTCATGAAAAACCCTAACTGAGGCTACACTCTAAGATGCCTCATTACTGATTTTCTGGAGCTCAGCCATCCAAATACACAGACTGTCAACACACTCTCAACAGGTAAATCATTTCTTTCTTAAAATGTCTATAAATTATAACTTTCAAATGCTAATTGGTTTTTCTATGTCTTTTCTCTTTTTAGTTTAAGAGAACATGTAAGTGTGACCAGCTCTATTCATTTAAGGATACTACTCTCATCTTCTTAACTAAGTAACAAAGATATTGAATTTATGGTACTTTTTTATTACTAGGGTTTATGCATAAACACTATCCCATGACTTTATATTACTTCTTTCTTTTAACATTGTGAAGTACTCACATACTACTTTTGGCCTTCATAAACAATTTTCACATAAACAAATGAAAGGAGACAAACTGTATAACTAAACTTATAACTTAAACAATTGTGCATTTCACATGCTGTCACATCCTGCAACCTCATCATCTGCAGAGAGAAACTGCCATTCAATCACACCAAAATACACATAATGATTAACTTAAAGGCATCATAGAGGATTGTGAAGATATTTGAGCTTGGTCTTCAAT